TTTCAATCGCACTGTATGTGCACGCCCACCAACCTGGATACAGCATAAATATGTGAGTCATCTCTCATGTGTGATTTCTCATAGGCCCAGTTTGGTTCTTCTCCAATGTCTCTTCGAGTTGTACTTGATTTTATTACCAGTTTTCATCCGAATCCATTGAGAAATGGGCCGATTCTGCTTATGTCTCTTGGCCAGGAACCTCTTGATCCTGAGTCTTGTGGGAAGACATGGTGAAGGAGAAGCAAACGTACGCACCTCACCTCGGTGGCGGAGAGAGAAGGAAGCGGAAGGACGTATTTAGTGGCACTGACGGGGTGGGGAGGGGAACACTCTTGATGATATTGGATCAGGGACTGAAAGATGTGAGACATAGTTTTCTGAGGGAAGTTTCCAAGTAGAGGAAACAGAAGTGCAAAAGTCCTAGGATGGGAGCAAGCTTAGTTTTTGAATAACACAGATGAACATGGATATGCATGGGAGGTTTGCAGGTGGGGACTCATCACAGAAGACCTTGCTAGGTCTTCAGCTTTTGCTGATATGGGAGGCCATCTCATCATGCATTGTATCTCACATCATCACAAGAAGGGTGAGAACTGTATTTTGAGATACCATTCACATATTTCATTACATCATATTGTTATAATTGTTCTATTTTATTATTGTTAAATCTTACTGTATCTAATTTATATGTATTTATATCTATGTATGGGAAACTTTATCGTAAGTATATATGTATAGGAAAAAACAACACCTATAGGGTTCAGTTCTATCCCGGGTTTTAGGAATCTACTGGAGGTCAGGGGTAAGGTGGGGACTACTCTACACAAATTTCCTTTATTATTGTTTTTCAAAGTTAGATTATACTTTGAAAGCCACACTTAATTTCATTCACTTAATATATAATGAATTACTGATTAGGTATGTGTAAGGCAAAGCACTAAGTATTATGTGTGTGGGTACCAAATAAAACCCCCAAAATCCTATTTTTAGGGACATTACAATGATGAAAGGGTATTGGACACAGTATTTATAAGGTAGTATGCAGCAGTGCTGTAATAGTGGTAGTTCACTTAACTGTTCTTACAAGACAGAGCATCTCCCCCTGGACTGATTCAGACTAGCTTTAAGGAAGCGTTAAAATATAATTAGGCAGAGGCAGGATATGACAGGAGGAAGGTCAGTGCACTTCCATAACTGAATTATATGAGCAGATTTAACCAAGTTAACTGCCACGCATCAAAATGGAAACCATCACCACATGCCAAGATATTCTTAATTTAAAAAATCAATTTGCAATGATTATAAAAATTTATTACTCACAATTTGGGTGTTCTTTAATATTTTCAGCTGAAAATTCTCATGAAAAAGGATTTTAAAGTTGGTCAGGGCTGCCACTTAGGGAAAATATTTTTTTATAGACGCAGTGGCTTGCGTCTATAGATGCTTACGGCATACAATGGGTTAAGAAACAGAAAAAACAAGCACATTCAGAGAATAGTGAGTAATCCAGTGTGGGTTGAATACTGATGTAGAGAAATAGAACTTGTAGGACTAAACGTGCTGTTCTGCTTTCTGAATACTTTTCTTCCCATTATGTGGTTTGTAGCTGACTTACTTATTGCCAGAAGCTTACCCAATATAATTCTTCAAAAATGAAGCTGTATGAAAGGTGACTGCCATACCCCTTCCCTTGAACAATGCACTTCCACTTTGGTTTATACACAACTAAACTGCTATATAATTGAAGGCATAGTCTGCACTTTTCAGTTTTTAACCTGCTTAGAGCAGATATTTAAGGTTCCTTCAGGGTTAAAACTTCTAGAAATTCAGATTCCAGGAAGTATCCAATCTTTTTAAAAAAATATATTTTTATTGATTTCAGAGAGGGAAAGGGAGTGAAACAGCAATGATGAGAGAGAATTATTGATCGGCTAACTCCCTGAACGCATCACACTAGGGATGGAGCCTGCAACCCGGGCATGTGCCCTGATCAGGAATCAAACTGAGACCTCCTGGTTCAACCACTAAGCCACACCAGCTGGTCAGGTATCCAATCTTATTTTGATTACAGATATTCTTAGCTTAATTTATACCCTAAATATGAGGAACTCATTATGAAGTTCTTGGTGTAGATACCTTCTAAGATAGAAGCACAATATTCTAATAATTACATGCCCTTTGTATGCTGTGGGTCATCTTTGCACAGTAAGATAAAGCATGACATTACTGACAATGATTTTCTCATGAACATAAAAAACAAAATATAACCCTCTCCCCCCACCAAGTTTAATTACAGTTAACAGTTTAAACCAGACATCTGCAAAAAAATTTGTGAATTGTGTATAAGGTGCCCATCACCCAGCAACTTAGGGGATCCAGGCTTACAAGTAAGTGTTGCAAAGTTAGCACAGAATAATTATTTGGCTAAGGATTAAGAGATAATAGTGTAAAAGAGATAATAGTGTAAATATGGTTTGTAATAGTGTAAAACCCTGTACTATATCTTCAAGGTTATTATGGGAAAAAAACCCCACAAGGTATATACATATTTAGCTAACCTCAGATTTAATAAGTTCTTTAGATCAAAAAGGAACAATTAAATTATGTCACAAACTCAAACTCAAATAGCTTTGATTATCGAAGTAGTAAATATCCCATCACTTAAAACCTTAGTGGCAAATATTAAGTTAAACACATTTTTGCTATTTGTTAAATATATACGTATATAAATACATTCACACCCTTCAGTAACTATTAATGGAGGAAGCTACAGAACAGATCCACATCCAACCTATTTGACTTGACAATGTTAGTACACTTTCCAGCTTCCAACATATATATAAATTTCTTACCTAATCTTATAAGATAAATTTGCACAATTCAACCTGTACTATTCCAGTGCTAACTACTAGCTGTATTAATTTATTACACCAGAACACTGGCATAAGGGGACTTAAGAATTTATTCTTGGACAGAAAATGAGAACTGAACAGCAATTTCATCACTATAAATGGAATTCTTCCTTAGCACCCCCTAATGCTAGTGTATGGCAGATCATTAATCATAAAGTACATTACTTTTGAAAACAAACACTTAAGAGAATTCTTGTACATACTTTAGATTGTTTGGACATTCCATTCAATTCATTGGAATGCTTTTTTAATGCTGCATTACAAATATAATACAGAATTTTTAAAAAGTTAAATCTCAACTCAAGCAATTACCAGTCTAATGGCATTAGAAAAAAAGGTACTTTTAGTCATGGCATGAAATACATGTAAAACTAAAGCTTTTGTTCAGTTTTTCTTTGAGAATTTCAAAGTTGAA